GCCCCCGGCCCTGCGAGCGGCGGCGCCGAGCGGGGCTCTGCACCCAGCAGCTCTCCCGTACGCGTCAAAACGAGTTTCCTCCGCGTTACCTAAATTACCTAAAAGAGTGGGGCTGGTAACTTTTACGCAGCTACAAAATGAGAGCTTAGCATGGCACTGCAAGCTTTACATAACTGTTTTTCCACACGCAGAAGGAGAAAATATAAGCTTTACTGAATAGTCAGAAGTTCCATATTACATGTGTCCGATAAAGAGGAAGGGTTACTTTAATATAACTTTTTTTTCCATATAAACAATTCCAACATTTATTTTTTCCTATCAGAGTGGTATTTCTTGTTTTTAAGTTCACTCTTTTAAAAAATGGCCTTCTTGTATTGATGTTAAAATAGCAATCTAGTACTTGGAGGTGTTACTGGCAAATCTAGATTGTGAGGTGGTGGATTAGGAGAATAGAATATGTCTTTATGATAGAAAATAGTTTGAAATCTGTGTCCCCTCCCATCCCCCACAACTGTTACTTTGGATGCTGCTGTTAAGACCTCCTGTGTTCAGTCTGAAATACTTAAAGAATTTTAAATCATCTCTTTCTATATGAAGCTGCAAAAAGGAATTTCCAAACCAAAAAGTAGTACTTAAAATTGAAACAAGTATTTTTGTCATAAGTAATCTCTTGACCTAATACTTATACAAAACACTTTCCACATATGACACTGGCCTAAAATACATTTAAATAAGTTCAAACCTGGAGATTTGTAACAGCAGATAAACTTACGGATGCTGCAGACAAATAGCCAGCCTGGGGTATCTGAGGACATTCTGGATGGTGGAGGAATAGTGCCACAGAGATTGCTGTTACCAGCTTCCTTTGCTCCTTTTGAGGTCTTGCAGCACAGATTGCATTTTTGAGACTGTACAGCATGAGCTGTACTTGACAAGCTCGGGACTACCTTGCTGGAGGTGTTGCTGTGTGACATGGTATTACAGTGTGATGGCACCTCGCTCTGCAAGCAAATTTAGTCATTCTTGCAATCATGGTGCTGAGCAGAAGGTCCCACCGAGCCCCCAGTCCAAGCAGAAAGTGCTGCAATGAGCTACACAACCCTGTGCCAAAGAGCGAGACCCCCCTCCTGTGTTTTGGAGACACGGCCAGAATAGAGTTACCACCACCACAAAGACGCTGCTTTCTGCTTGCCTGTCATTACCGCTCATCCTTTCCTAGGTGGAAGAGCTGTTGTGTGCGCTGGCTCTGATTTGTCCTTGTGGCGGTGCCAGTAAATACTTCGTTAGTTTCTGACAGGATGACTTTTCAGATGCAATTTTTTTTGAAGTCTGCTACCTGGTGATTTAGAATACAGGATTAACCAGCATTTCTCAGTCTGCCTCTGTGGTCATTCTTCTCAAACTCCTTTCCTGTAAGCTGCTGGATATATTTTACATAAGATCTTCTTAACTCTTTGCTTATGTATTTTTTGTTATTATTATTTCTTGATTCTACTGACTTGTAAGAGCTCATATGGCTGCTGGAGCCCTTCTTGATCTGCAGTGAGCGTAGGAGCAACATAAATTTTGGTCTTGCATATGCTTGCATTTTGTGTTCACTTTGCTTTTAAGTAACTTCCTCTCTCCCTAATGTTTAGGAAGTGCAGCAGTTAAATCAGCAACTAGAGGAGAAAAATGGAGAGATACAGCAGATGATAAATCAGCCTCCATATGAAAAGGAGAGAGAAATCTTACGGCTCCAGAAAAGCTTGGCAGAGAAGGAGAAAGCTCAGGCCACCAGTGAGGTTTTGTGCCGTTCACTCACCGATGAAACGCACCAGCTTCAACGCAAGTTAGCATCCACAGCAGAAATGTGTCAGCATCTGGCCAAATGTCTAGAAGAGAAGCAAAGAAGAGAAAAGAGGAATTCGGATGATCAGATGCCTACTGAAAGATCTAATCAGGTATTCTTACTACACTTTTTGCCATTATTATCAACTTCTAAAGTGTTGATCACAATATCATAGTAGCAAATGAGGAACAATGAGAAACATCCCTTTAAGTAATTTCACATTCGGTGAAAAGAAAATATGCCAAGCTCTACATAACTTTGAACACTACGAGTTGAGAATGGAGCTGTTGTCAGTCACTTGCATTTTGGCCATCTCATTGCTCTCTAGCATCAAAACTTGGAGAGGAGAGAGCCATTTCAACAGTTCTCTGCGTAGGCTGCAGACAGGGACAGCACTAGATGGTGCTGTGCTTTATCCCTCTTAAATGCCTTATAAACAATGCAGCACAAAGCAAAGCCTCAGTGTTTTACACCAGAATTAAGAACTCTACATCCTGCTGTCTTTTCAGGTCAGGATTTGGTTTTGCATCTGTAGTACAGACCTATAGAAGAGCTCTTTAGGAAAGAGCTGGCAAAGGTGGTGTTTTTTTTCTCTGCAGTTTCTCTGTCCCCCCCTTTTACCCTTGTGGTCTCTCCCTGAAATATGTTGCTTCCCTACATCAGGGATGTTAGACAAATTGCTTCATGCTAGTAAAATGACAGAAACAGCACCAAGAAGCAGCTGGGTGGTGACCGACCTTGCTAATGGCAGTTGGCTTTGCATCACCATTGCCTTAGCTGAAGCTTTTCAGTGTGGGGTAGAAAGCTCTTTTCAAGAGGAAACACATTGTTCCAGAAATCATGTTGTTATGTAATTCGGGATAATAGCAAAAGGAAATTACATCAGAGGTGCTGCCTCCTGGATCAGATAGGAGCACAGAGTGTTGTAACTAGTTCTCAGAGAAAAGAAGAATTTTCAGCCTTGGTCCTCTCAGCTACACAGCAGTAAGGCTGTGTTTTGGGTGACTGCTTGTTCATGCTTTTGTGATTAAACTGTGTGCATGGACCTGATTTTTCATTTATTTATTTTTTTGTAGAAACAATTTGGTAATATTCCTAAAGAAAGGTGGTATACCTGCATTAAAGTTGTCTATAAGATAGATGTAAAGGTTGAGTAGGTGGAAGGAAAAAAAATGACTTTTTAAAGGGACTTGAAACTTTTAGTATTATCATATTCTAAATGCATTTAATAGACAGGAAACTTGATTGACTTTGATATATGTAATAAGTAGTAAACTCTGTACAGTGGGGACTTCCCTTTTGAAAAAGAGAAATTTCAGATGCAATTGCTAGTTGATTCTTGGGAATTTTGTACAAAAATGTTTTAAATTACTCATGGACCCTGGGTTTTTTTTAAGCAGATGTCACAAGTTTTTTTTTTTAAGGTATCCTTTTAGTCATTACATAGCAAGCCATTTTTTTTTTCTATTAACTTCTTTGTAGCCCTGGCCAAAATTAGTAAACAGTAATAACAAAATGAGATCAAGGCATTTCTGGGGCATGGTCATGTATTCCTCTACTCCAAAGAAGCAGTTTCCTAGGAGTTCTTGCAAACTCTCAAGCACTGCTGTTGTCAGCACCAACTGTCATGCATATAAAGTATGTGGTATTTTTCTTGTTAACTTTAGTAGACTCAGAGTTTGGCCAGATGGTGATGTTTTTCACACCATGTAGACATACTAAAAACAATACCACAGTGGTAAAAACCTGATTACACTTCTGTGCTTATTTAAAAAAAAAAATCAGCCTAACTCTAGGCTATGCTCTACTATGTAGCATATTTCTATATTATGTAGAAACAAATAGAACTAGATGTCTTTATTTCACTGATCTTACAGGAAGAAAGCAATGACTACTTTCAGCTTAACGGTATATTTAAGTAATACTGTGTGTTTTTATGTTAAAATATCTTCTTTATCTGAAAATTATAGCTGTTAGACGATGAAACTTCACTTCAAGCCCTTATCGTCAAAGTACAAGATGAAAACAGGATGTTAAAACAAAAAGTGGCTCACGTGAGTACTTTCGTTTTGTACAAGATAAATCTTTGAGTATTTTGAATTACATTAGATTAAGCAGGCCTTACCTATTCCAAACTTGATCAAAGGGCAGTTTCATTGCAGACTGACATGTTTAGTCTTGTAGAGATGACACGTACTCTATTTCTGTGGCTAAAAACAGCCTTTTTAATGTTTTCTTGTTGCTCCTAATAATACACTGCAAGAAGAGAGGTAGTTGGAGGTTGCCTTCCACTCCTTTCTGTGCTTCTTCAGTTTCCTAACCCGAAGAGCCCTATGTCTAGGGTGACCACAACCTCCCCAGTCGTTCAATGTGACACTCTCCTTACAGACTGGCTCAGGGGGAGGGCTGCCAGGGAAGACAGCCTCATGACACCATTATCTTCCATTCCTGTGTAACTCGCCTATAGCAGTTGACCAGTGGATCAACACTTGAATTTTTTATTATTTATTATTTTTTTTTTTTAAAGAGTCTTAGTCCTGATCGAACTTCTTGTGAAAGCTGGAAAGGCTGTGACTTCACGTTGTGACTTTCCTGGGTAATCTTTCAGGTCGAAGACTTAAATGCAAAATGGCAGAAATATGATGCCAGCCGGGACGAGTACGTGAAGCGACTCCACCTGCAGCTGAAGGAGCTGAAGTTGCAGCTGGAGCCCCAGCACGGCCTAACGTCCGCACAGACAAACTCGGAGCTCATGCAGAAGGAGATACTCCGGCTGAACAAGCTCCTGGAAGAGAAAATGAACGAGTGTGTAAAAGCAAAGAAAGAATTAGAAGATGTAAAGAAGGCTAGTGAAGGGGACAATGAGCGCATACAAATGCTGGAGCAACAGGTTATTAAGTTTCTCTTCCCTAGAGATGGGAATTCTTTGGCTTTCCCCAAAATACTGACTGGAAGGGGGAAAGTGAAGTGTTGTTGTTATTGGTCACTGGCCTTTGCCACGTTGGCTATATGGCTTCTTAAAATCGCAGATCAAAAAGTCTAATACATAACATTCCTCATCCTTCTGATGTCTTCTAATAGAAAATAACTAAATATAAAGATCTAAAAGAATACAAATACTTTTTTAAAGCACAGACATGATAGACAAGATAATATTGAGACTTTGGGAGTGAATACATACAAACACATCAAAGCCTCAAATACTTAACATGTCATGCTTATTTTCCGCCTCCCCCCTCCAAAAAACTAACATAATTATTTTTTCAGGTCCTAGTTTATAAAGATGATTTTACATCTGAGAGATCAGACAGAGAACGAGCACAGACTAAAATACAAGAGCTTCAAGCAGAGGTTGCATGTCTGCAACATCAGCTAACGAGAAGACAGGTAAGAAAAGTGAAGTAAGGTTTTTAATAAAAATAACCACAAGATTCAGAACTAAAATATGTATATATATTAATGACTTACTTAAATACCCTTAAAAATCTTAATACTTCTAAAACCAATTCAATTTGATGCAGCACTCAATTATTTCATAATCTGAGTTCAAATGGAGATGCTTCCTGACACACACACACACACACACACAGCCCTGTGTGTATGTATGTATGAAATATATATAGTATGTATATAATGTCCTATCCCAGTCTGTTTCCTCTCTGTGTTGGATCAATGTAGGAAGAGGAGCTTCTCAGAATGAACACTGAGGCAATTAGGACCCTGGTAACTGTGGCATCTTTCTGGAGTCTCCTTCTCCGGAGATCTTCCAAACCCGCCTGGATGCCACCCTGTGCCACGTGCTCTAGGTGTCCCTGCTGGAGCAGGGGGGTTGGACTAGATGATCTCTAGAGGTCCCTTCCAACCTCAATTATTCTGTGATTTTTGTGATCTTACAAGTAGCTTACTAGCCATCCATCCCCTGTTTTTACAAGTCTTCCTATGACTGTTTCAATAGATATGCAGAAACTAATGCAGGTTTTCTGAATCTTAAGCTAAAAATAACATCACTGTTCCAGATAAAAATGTTAAAATATATATTTTTTTAAAATAGAATATTAAGAGCTCTTCTTTCTCTTTCTAGGACACAAGAGACACAACTAGTAATTTCCGAGTTCACATTGGTAACCAGAAGCACATGCACGTACAGACAAATGTTGAACATCTACGAGGCAACAGCCCAGGCCACATGGGCAAGAGGAGGGCGGCCTCGCAGCCCGAGCAAGCTTCTGCCCTCGCGAGCGATGGCAACGCGGGCTCCGAGGGCAGAGCGCAGGGTGAACTGAGGTGCCCTCACTGCATGAGGTTTTTCAGCGATGAACTCAGTGATGAATTTCTCAAGCATGTTGCTGAGTGTTGTCAGTGACCACGTGATGTGAGGAGCGTAACTTAATCACTACTTTCGATAAAGTAAAACTTTGCTCTATAGATACCTCCTACAGTCTTAAAACAGGCACTCAAATGGACAACTCCCAGGAATTAGGAGGATGAGCAGTATCTACCTCTTATTTGATTTTACTTTCTCTTGGACTGTATGGCAAACTTCAAGATAAAGCAAAGACTTTTATGAAGAAATATATATATATTTAACAACTACAAAGGGCAAAGCAAACATGATGCAAACTGTGCTACAAACTAAAGAAGGAACTTGGCATCAGTGCAGTTTGACTTAGATGCAAGTCTAATTCTTTAGAGCAGTCTGCAAGTTTGTGAAAGGTCCCTGAAGTTGAACTATAATTCCTTTTTCAAAGATGGAAAGAAGATGACTAAAGAATTGGCGGGGAGGAACAATTTGGCAAAAGAAGCAAAATTTTTTTCCTGCTATATCTAAACTGAACACTTGAATATCTAATAGCAGGAAAAAAATTTTGCTTATCTAAACTGAACACTTGAATATCTAAAAATCCTTATGCTCAACTGAAAACAGGAGAAGTGAAAGAAATACAAACAAGTCAGTTATTACCTAAAACTACCTTGTCTTTTTGCACAGAAACTATGCACAGGGATATTTATTTTTTCTGTGCCATAAATATTTTACATATTTGTAAATGTGTATTTGTGTAATTATTGATTGTATTCAAAATTTATAATGGCATAATGGTTATTTTTATAATAAAAGTGACAGTGCAGTAGCTTTACTGCATTAGTAAAGTATCAGAGACCTTTCTTTTTGTGTAATTACTTAAATGTAAAATAGTCTAAGTAACTATGCTTAAGTGTTAGCTAAATGTCATGGTTTCACATATGAGTTATTCCATTACTTCACTAACAAGTGATAGGGTGAAAATTATTCCTCAGTTATGAGAGGAAGAATGACCTTTCAGCTACACAGGAACTCCCTGCCCAGCCACACAGTGTTTGTCTACACCACAGCTAGCTGAAGTTTATTTTTATCCTCTTGACAGTGGAAATAACTTCAAATACTAGAAGATCAGTTTGAGACATATTAGTGGGTAAAGTGTGTGCATTTTTTTTCCCCTTCTTGACTCCAGGTGTTTCTCAGAGTTGGGGTTAAGGATAGTACATAAACAAAATAAAGGCCTGGTGTAACCACAACCTTTTACCTTTAAAGGAAAAAGAGTTTACTTTTTATAACAGCACCTCTGTCTTTAAGCAAAGCAGCACTTGCCAGTTTTGTACTAAAACATCTCTTAAAGATGATCCTGGATATTTTTTTCTTCACTTACCAATCTAGGGCATTCATTCTTCCTCTACCACTTGCCCCCAAAAGGGGAGACAAACCCCACAGTGATTTTTTTCCCCAGCAGCCACCTAGCATGTAGTTCTCCCCTTAGAGAACATTTGCTCCTGTTAGAAGGTTTGTGCTTAACATGCAGGAGGAGTAGAGTCTGACATCCCCTTTCCCTGACCTTCCCAGAGCACTGAGTTTTTGCCTGCTTTTTCTTCTGCTCTTTCCAAGCAGTTACAACATCCCAACAGTACTCGTGACTGTGGGCCAGGTGGACAAAAGAGTGAGCACAACTAGAGCACTGCCCTCCCCCTCCCCACAATGTAACTGCAGGGAACACTGCACTCCTCAGCTGGAAGGTTACAAAACAGCTGGAAGAACTAGACCTTCACAAGGAAGAGCTACTTGTGGATGAATGAGTTCCTCTTTCTTAGCCCTTGCTCCCTTCAAAGCAATGGTCCCCAGCCCACCCTTCAGTTCCTGTTGAGAGCAAGCCCAGGAGGAAAACTAGGTAGAGAACTAGCTGCCTCTAAGCAAAGTTTCTGCTATTTCATGATCTTTTTACAGCCCTGAAGAAGATAGCATAAAGTATCTTCCCTTAGGTGAAACACTTAACACCTATTAAAGAAATACAGGGGTTGCATTCAGGGTGCACATGCAATGGTCATTATTAATCTAACCTGTGACTGATTGGTTTCCTTTTCCTAACATAGTATGCATTAAAAAAGGCAACAAAAAAGTCAAAAAAAAAAAAAAAAGAAAAAAAGATTGTGTGTTTCAGTGACTGTTCTATAGATAACCTTTTAAAGACTTGCAGATTAGATATGGCCCACAGAACCCAGGCCAAGAAATACACAGTTAAGCTTGCTGTGACACAAGCTAATCTCTCGAGGCTTCGTTTACGTTTCTGGCTGTTCTCATTAGACAACTCTATAGTTTTAATGCATATCAAACTATATTGTCAGTAATTGATACAGTATGGACTTTTTTGGTATTCGTATTACAAAGTAGGTACCAAACAAAACCAAGGCAGTTGCATCTTGGCAGTGCTTTTCTTCTTGTCTTTTTTTACAGCTTTGAGAGGATCAGCTTATGTCATTCAGAAGTCCAAGCCTGCCCCAGCTTTTCAGGCACATTCATTCCCATGGGTGCAGTTGGACAGACTAACCTATAACTCTTGAAAATATATGCAAGTATCAAGTATGTAAATCTTCAGTCTGCAGCACACAGAAACTCACAGTAAGATATTCTTCTGGTCTTAACATCTGCGAGTTCCCCTATCACAGCACAGATGAGAATCCAAATCTTGGGAAAGGAGGGAATTCTTTAATGCACAGAAACTTTCTAGATCTGTAAAGACAACCATTCTGGACCAAAAACTGATGACATTACAGATCAAGCACATAGTGAAAGGCATCTCCTACCACCTAGATTTCTAAAACAGTACAATAAGTAATTAATAAAGTGGGAAAAATCTAGAGCAGATCATCTGTTTTTCATTTATAAAAACACCTCACTTCTATAGGCTATTTTACTATACTTCAGGGCTATTTTACTATAACTTTTCTCACTGAGTTTTTCCAAGCTCATAAAAAGTCTTAGCTAATCATTATGGTCTTTCCATTAACCTAGAAAGCAGTTATACATGACTGTGAAAGAACTGTCAGTGTCTTCTACTTTTTTTTTAATAGATAAAAAATTCTTCTGGGGCCTGCAGAAGCTGCATTTTCATACGCAGAAATATGTCCCAAAATATTAAGAAATGCCAAGACATTATGATCAGTCAACCCTTCTCCTAAAAGTTCTCCCTCTTTAAACTATTTTCGTAAAGTTGTACTCTCCAAAACACTGTGAGTTCAAAGCCAAGACCAGGGCAGGGAATTCCTAGGGGCTGCCTCACCACAGGTTATCTCCAGACCACCTATTGTCCCACATGGGCAAACTGGTTCTCCTTAGTCCCGCGTCTAATTACATTTCCATTGAGACTGAGCAAATGCTATTTGTTAACAATGCCAAGACATGCTGGTTGCCCACGGAAGTAGGGCCGAAGCACATACCATGACAGCAGCTGCAGGCAAGACTGACCTGTTGAATCATAGAAAATACAACCTGAGAAACCCCAGGAGATCATTTAGTCCCTATATCCAGCCCCAAGGGACAGAAGGAGATCAACAGTAACGGCAAAGGCAGGTCAGAGCTACAGAACCTAGAGCTTAAAACATTTTTCAAGTCTTCTGCAGCTTTTAAAGCCAAGTTTGTTTCCTTCTCCCGAGATTTAAGACGTCGTATCTTTTCGAACACATCTTAAATAATGTCTACAGATTAAGTGCACACTAATAATAAAACTAGCTACAAGAATAAAACTTGTTCAAAAGCGGATACCTATATTTTATGGTACTTTTTTTAAAAAAAACTTCAATTTCCTGTGACTTTGATGCATGTGTATATATAGAAAGCAAGGGAAATTCCAAGCAACATGCCACCCCATTATACTCAGAACAGCAGTGCTTCTCATGGTAAAAAAAGGAAGTCTCAAGCTCTCTTTCTACAAAATCAATGTGAATTCAGAGTATGCTACAGTAATATTTCCTAGTACCATGCTCCAGTAACAAATAGACAGCAGGTTTAAGCTAAAATCTAAAGTACACAAAACACATACAACTCATGGGGTTCATTCTTTCCCTTTCTGTTTTTTACACCCACTTTTTCTTCTCTTTTTGGACTTGCTGCTAAGCAGCCTTTATGGTAGAAACTCTCTTCCTGACGGGTGTCTGATGTCTTGTCCCTACAGGGCCCGATAACCTCCTTGGGAACTTGAAGTACCTCCGCAACACACAGCCCTGCTGTGGACAGTGCTGACCCAGACGGCGGGTTACAGGGAACCTTGTGCAAGTTCTATTTGCAGAAGACACCAAAAGAACATGTGAATCTACCTGGCCTAACCAGGCATGTGGCCTTGCCAGCCCAGCCAGCCCTCAGACCCCGCTCTGGAGGGTCAGGTTCAGGGAGGGCTCAGCATGGTAGGGTCATCTGATGACTCAGGCTGACAGCAACCTCCTGGGGTCCCACACTCACTTTGAGTGAGGCTTTTATGCTCTAATTTCTTGTGCAGTTGGAGGGAGGAAAGAGCAGTGGGCCTGGTTCCACCCAGCTTGCAGATCCTCCATCTCCTCACATGTCACCACTGTGACCCTCCTGTTTCTTCCTTCCTCCCCCATCCTCTAATTTGCCCAAACTCTGTCAAATCCATGTTCACACAAAGCCCCTTTTCCTTTCTCCCGATAGGCACCTTGGGGGTGCCATGCAAACACCACAGGTGGTTTTTGCAGCAGGGGCGCATCTGTTGTTGCACAAGCCTGATGCTCGCCCAGGCAGCTCGGCGGCCCCCGCCAGCGCTCCCCTGCGAAACAACAGCCCTCCTTACTGCTGCGCTCTGCAGCACATCCCAACCCTCCTCCTGAGCAACGGAGCAGCACGGAACAGGGTGACTGAGCTGGGCAGAGGCTTCTCCAGCTCAATTCGATTCGCTGCTCTGCAGAGGCTGGAGAGCCACCTCCTCTCCTAGGGTGTGCGCTCGCGCTGCGCGCGTTCCTGCACGCAGGGGCGGGGGGAGCCCCCAGCTGGGTGCGTGCTGGAGACGTGTGGCACGGGGACAGGAGAGGGTGCGGGCCCAGGCCCGTGGGGGCTGCCAGGCTGGCGAGGCCCCAGGGAAGGCCTT